AAATAACGACAAAAAATGTAAAGTTCCGGGAAATCTAGAGGTTCATTTTCGATTAACATAGGAATGCAATTTGAAAAATAAAATCTAAAAGAAGTTTTCCACGTATATAATTAGCTTACGCACCAAGAAATTCACAAACTATTATTTTTCTCTTTCTAACATATCCATTTTGGAAAAACCCAAAGAAATTATATCTTATTTGGTATTGAAGTACCTTTTTTCTTTGAATAATCCATGCAAAGAACAGCATCATCAGCGCTGTATCCCTTTGCAGATTGTAACGATATCGTTCCATTCTCTTCCGTTTCCAGATTCCATACTCTGAGATCTCGTTCTTGATGTGAAATGAGTAGAAGATTCTCTTTGAGTACAATCACAGTACTGCCAGGTTTCCCATTCAATTTAACCTAAATTTTTTTCCACTGTGAATTTAGTCGCTTGCGATTTTTATACTCACTTTTAGTCTCTCTTTGATCGTTGAATCTGGGAGAATGTTGAAATGATAGAGCATCAGATCGCTGGCAAGAGCTATGAGTAACTCCTTCTGATGATAGTGGGAGACGAATTCAACGCGGTAATCCAACTAAAAATGAAATGTATAGTATGTAGATCAAATATATTCAATATAAAGTGTATTTTGTCGTGTTTTTCATGGAAGAAAATCAAACTACAAAGATTACCAAATCATAATGTTTTTTGTCTAAAGCATTCTGAAGAATGATGACTCAGTTTATCTTTTTTTCATGAAAATAATGAAAATATTTGAGATCTACAGACTTCCTAGAAATTTGTCGACACTGACGCTAGTGCGGCCGATTTTCTTCAAAGGCTTATCACCCGAAATATTTGAAAATTTATTTAATACCTGGCATAGCTTTGTCCCTGTTCCATCCTGCTCAATCAGATGAAGTACGCCACCTTCTGTGCTTACAACGAAAGAATGTTTCATCGCCGTAGGCATTTGCACGGGTGTTGTGAGACCATTCATCTGAAAAAATTTGATTCTATCCAACCAACTCAATGGATACTACCGCTGAGTACCTTTCCGAGTTCTTCAAATGATGATAGATTATTTTTGGTCTTCAAGGAGTCTACGTCGCCATCCAAGAGCGATTTTTCGGGTAGCACACTAGAAGAATCGAGCTTTTCATAGAAAAAAGTGAAAAATAGGATGGAATAAAGCAAACTTGCAAATAGTTGCTTAAATAAAATTTGCCTTTCATTTTAGCCCTCGAATATCCTTCAGACAGGTTTTTCATTACTGTTTCCTATTTGTTTTGTTATAGGTAAAAATTTCAGAAAAAACTGCGAATTTTGAGCAAGTTTTCTGTTCAAATACAAACGAGAGTTTCGCCTAATTGTTCTGATTCTTTCAACAACTAAAAATAAATCTTGCTTGACTTACTGACTAATACGGGCGCAGGCACCCGTTGGTTTATCGCCCATATTGTATTCACCACTCCTCTTCAGGGATCTGCCGGATAGCGCATACAGCTCACATTTACCATCCTGTAATTTTGTAGTTGACCAGTCGTAATTTGGAGGATGATATGATTTTTTTGGTGCATCCAGGTAGCCCTCGAAAAGTCGTGGGTTCTCCGGTGGGAATCATCGTCTATTACGTCGTTAATTTAGAATAATAAAGCTGCTAATAGTTGAACCGCATCTTACCTCCATAACAGCGCACAGCGTCTTTCCATCACCACTCCAGTTCAAAAACATCACTTTGTTGCTAGGCTGTTCATCCACTTTATAATCTACAAGAACGTTGCAAATACTTGGTTGTTTCAAAAGTTCTGTCCGATTTTTGTTGCCTCATT